TACAGAAAAAGCAGAAAAGAGTTCTATTGTTAGAGTGGACAGATAAGTGAAGAAACTAGATCACTGTCTAGCAATTGTGAAAATAGCAAACTCCAATCTTGTGTTCATTAGTAATGGAACTAAAAATAAAACTTTCAATACGGTATTGTCTTTATTCAGATCTATAGTACATCTTCATCTGAAATACTGTGCACAGTTCTGATTTCCAATAATAAAAAAAGACACCAGAGCTAGAAAAATGCAGAAGCAGGCAACTAAAATGATTAGGTTGAAATATTTTATTTTCTAAAGTCTTTTGAAGGTTTGAGGCTACTTAGTTCATTAAAAAACTAACAAAGACAGACATGATTGAAGGGTATAAAATTATGCCTGGAAAGGGGAAAGTGGTTGAGAAGAAATGTTTTATTCTGTTATATCATTAAAAATAGTGATCTTTTAATGAAGCTGAATTTTTAAAAATTCCAGAACATTTTAGAAAAAACCAAATTTAGAAAACCTGCCCAGAAAAAGCATAATTCATCTATAAATATGACAACCATCAGTTTATTTATTTGGTGTATGGCAAATACATGGACTTATAGTGGTTCAAATGTTAATGTCCAGTCCACACAGCCATTCAAGGAGAAGGTGATCTATGTTGAAAAAAATCAGACATTGGGCTGGTGTAAGGTCTTGATGGACATTTGGATATAATGTGATGGATATTTTGTTGAGTTGCACCAGTCACACTGAGGGGTAAGAGACAAGATCCCACTTAAACAATGAGTCCTGGCAGACACCATTGGGTACGGATCCTGTTCAGAGTTGACCAATGCTGGTAAGGAAGGTCAAAACCTGGCATTTTTTTGTGTAGGGTCATCTGTGTAACTGCCTGCATCTGGGCATTCAGCAACTCATTTGGCTTTCCACTGTATATTGATGTCAAAGTTGTTAGACAGCTATTGAGCAAGTGCCAAAGAGGGCTTCCTGGATTTAAGCCTGCCAATTGATAGATGAGGAAGATCAGCGTGCATAGGAAGAAGTTGGTTTCTCATAATTTTGTTGTACTCCTTCACTAAGGCTTCTTGCCTTTGTAGAGCTGGTGGTGTAAAATGGCTCAAGATGGGGAGCCAACAAGTAGAAATAGATTTTATACCACTTATGATCCTCACTGTATCATTTAGTCTAGCATTGATCTTGCTAGTGTGGCAGCTATTAAGCCAAATAGGGGCACAGTATTCAGCTGTGGAGTAGACCAACCCTAGTGCTGATATTCTGAGAGTAGAGGTTGAGTAATTCTGATGATTTTAAAGGAAGTTTAGATACAATTATGGAAGACAATTTACCAAGAAATAATCATCTTAACAGCTCAAACTATTTCCAAGTTTACTATTTGCAGGGAAACAATGTCAAGAAAGAGGCATGTCTCCATCTCATCTCCACTGAGTATCCTAAGGAAGCCACCATTTTTTGAGATACAGAAACAACGAAACAGACACAAGAGTTTTAATAGCATATAGTATTTTAAAATTAGTCTTATAATTAATCTCATGTTTAAAAAAAACAATATTACTGATACATCCCTTAGAAAACTATTTTAGTAAAAAAAGTTTCTTCAAGGGGTAAGTTTTTACATGTACTAACAATATTCCGTTTCATGAAAAGATGGCTCTGCTTTTGCTAATTAAGGTCTTGTATAATACTCAAGTTTACAATTAGGTTAATTTGTTTAGTGTTGAAAGTATTATCACAGATGTGCTCCAAAATAGAAAATTCTTAATCACAGAGGTTCACAAATTGTGAATTCAAGGCATCCCCCATCCTAGGGTTGAAAGCAATTTTGTGGGAATGGGAATTTTTAAAAAAACCTACCTTGATCAGGCTTGGATACCAAAGTTTAAACAATGGAAAATTCACTCTCGGATTCAGCTCCTGCTTTCAACATACAGATTACCCAGGTGTAAGAATCCATGTTATATATACATGAAAATTTAACTATATAAATATATTCATTACTCAACCTTATCTTCAGTAAAATTCATTTTATTCATAGGTTAAAAGTCTGCACATATCATAGGAGCACAAAGTCCGACAACTCCTGCTTTACCATAGATGCACTTTTATAAATTCTATTGGAGAATCCTGATTTTTCTAAAGTACATTACCAGACTTACAGCAAAATCAATACAGAAGCCCAAGGCAGCCGAATACTCTTGCCATAAAAAATTATATCAGCTTAAATATGTCTATTTATTGTAGCTATTTCACTGGACACCAAGTCATTCTAGTTTTAGAAGTGAAAACAAGCTTTTAAATAATGCCTTTTGCTACTTCTCCAGTTTAATAATAATATCAACCTTTATTGTCATTATGTGTATATATATATATGTATATATATATATATGTATATGTATGTGTGTATATATGTATACTCTTAATCTTACACAGGAAAAGACCTGAACACATCTAGACCTACCTGTATGTATGTATGTAGGTCTAGGTGTGTTCGGGTCTTTTCCCGTGTAAGATTAAGAGTATCTTGGTAATGTTTCGGCAAGGTCCCACTCGCCATACTCAGGCTGGTGCTTTCGGCTTCGTGCCAGTGCAAGTAGTGTATGATTGGAGCTGCCGTCTCTCTATAAATACTGGTGGTGGGGGCTGGTGTGCTGGGCTGGTTGGCTGCGCTGCTGCCTCTTGATTGGTTGATGGAGTTGATGTTGGTATAATGGGCTGTGTGATGGCCTTGTGAGTTTTGTTGTGGAGATATCCTGGGTCTTGTGCATATATATATATTTGTTTTCTGAGGTTTTCGCGGGTATTTGTATGTGGATCTTTGGTTATTCGGGTGAATAACCCCCCAACCAATCAGATCACAGCCAGGCCCCCAACCAATGAGAACACACCCCCACCCAATCAGAACACAGCCAAGCCCCCACCCAGTCAAGTCGCACTCCCACTGGCAGTTTAAAAGAAAAAACAGCTGCAAGCTCACATTACTCCAAGAAGCACAAAGCCAAAGACACAAGCCTGAAGATGTCGAATGAGATTTTGTCGAAACATCACCAAAATACTTCCAATTTTACGCGGGAGAAAACCCGAATAACCAAAGATCCATATATATGTGTGTGTGTACACACACACACACACACAACAAAATTGATTTTGCTCCTGCTCCTGCTATCCATAACAAAAATACAATACAACATAAATAATATACATGTTTCCATGTATGGAATGATTGTAGTTGTATTTACGAGCCTGACAGTCCATGGATAAAAGCTGTTTTTAAACCTGTTTGTCCAGCTGGCTAAACTTTTGTATCTTCCGCCCGATGGTAAAAGTGAGAAAAGACACTGACCAGGATGTGAACTGTCCCTAAGTGTCTTCACTATTCTTAATATATCTTGATATATTAACATATCTTAGACTTACATATATTAGAATTGTCATATCTTTGAAACTTAAACCTGAGACATTAGCTTGAGAGACAGCAACTGATCATGGATAAATAAATAAGACTGAATCCTGTTTTCTCCAGTTCCCTTATCTAAGAACTAATCAACAAACTTCAATGGTTTATTTTATTTCTATACTTGAAAATCACAAATAAATACAAACATCCTATGATGCATATATTTTTGAGAGAAAATTGTTTTCTCAATCCACACTCACATTCCAAGAGCTGCAGGAAATAACTATAGGTTTCACATAACAATCAGTAAAATGACATTTATAATCATTAATTTACTGTGCTACTTTCCTAGGTACAATACCTAGTACCAATAATAATTTCCATGTGATGAAATTCAACTGCACTTCAAAAGATAGGCTTTCATAAGTTTGCTTTTGTTGATTAGGAATTTAATTAAAAGCTAGAACTTTAACCTAAAGCTTTACTCTAGATAGATGCTATTTGTCACTAGAAAGTGAAACAAGAAATAAGGAAAAATCCCCATGGTGGCCAAGAGTGAAACAGAAAACTTAAAGAAGACAATATATATATGTCAATAGTTAAAAAGTTAAATAGGCACAATGATGGTATGAATAGCTTGGGAAAAGTACTTCACTATTGGAATAGGAATTTGATGCAGAGGTAAAGCACCTGCCTATTTCCCAGGCACGAATTTACATTATTGGGTCCTTCACTATTTAATCCTGAAGGGCTGGGGAAAAAAACTAAAGCAGGGAAAATTTTACCAGCATAAATCGTTATCAATTCAACTGGCGGCAAACTTCAGATTTTTGCCCACTTGAATAACGCAGATACCCACTTCAACACCAATCTCTTGCATGCCGAACACGGAAGAGGCAAGACCCCCAAGTCCTGAGGAAAGGGCCACAGTATGAGATTTACGGGAGGAGCAGGGCAAGGCGCACATTCGAAGGCGGAACACACCAGGCCAACGGCAACTGAAGCTGGGGAAAGCTCAACGGGTGAGTAGTAACCAAGCAAGAGCACAGCGAGGTGGAAGTGAAAAAAAACGTTGCACAGAAGAAACACGGCGGCATTCGGGAGTCGGCGCGCAAAAAAAAAAAAAAAGGTTAAGATCAGGGCCCACAGGAAGAAAGGAAGAGGCCGCTCTGCTGACTGACTCTTGAGGCTTTGTAACGCGCTACAAAAGCGGGCCGAAGGTGATTCGGGGCTATCTGCTAGCTGTCGGCAAAAGACGCTGCCGCCGCCGCCGTCACATTGGGCCGCCGGCCTTCGTGAGGGGCCTACAATGGAAGAGCAGGAGAGGCGGCCGCGGCGCGATAAAGCAAGCAGTTCTTAGGCTCCGCTCCCTCTTTTCCCCCCCCCTCCGCCGGTTCAAAGGAATCCGAAACAACACCCCACCGGTCTTCCCGACGGCACGCTCAACCTCACTTGACCCGGTTCAGCTCGCTGCGCCACAACCTGGGACCGGGCCTGCTACGTCCATCCTACTTTCACGGCTCCTCGTAACCTGTGCCTCTCCGACCGTCTTCGTCCCCTCCCTTCCCAGATAGGGCAGAGGTCTCCCGCCCGTCTCGCCCCTGCTCACCCCCCACATCGTTCGTCCCGCAGTCAGACAATCATCCAGACAGGCCCCGGCACTCTCGTTCCTCCACCCTCGCGAGCCCGCCTCTTCCGGATCCGCCGCCGTAAAACTAGCGTCATCCGCCCTCGTTGGCTCGGCTTTATCTCCTAAACGGGGCGCGAGGGCGGCCCTTCCTCAGACACTTTCTATGCGCCCCTCCCCACGTCCAGCCAATCGATAAGTGTCCCGGATTACGTCCTTTGCCATAAGTGAACAGGAGAATAAGGAAAGAGTTAATTCGCCCCTTAATTGGACAGATTCCTTTTTCCAGATGGACCGCCAGAGATGTGCGCACCCATTACGTCTTGTTGCTCAAACTCGTTTTACCCATTTATCTCTGTGCTCCCAGCAATAATTAAACCGGTTTAAAGCGGAATAAAGCACCCAATTTCAAACAACCAATAAGGCCATACCATCTAATTAGAGCTCTCCTGAAGCTGAGACGGTAAACAACCCCACTTAAAGCGTAGTCTGTCCAAAATCTGTTTGAAATCGCTAAAATAGGAAAACAAAACACTGTTTTATTTGTAAGTGTGCTACTGTGCCAGTATTTTTATTAGTTTCCAAACGCAATGTTTTGGGCATAGATCAATAAATACTACGTACTTAGTATGGCTATTCCAGGGCTGGTATGACGTGCTAATGGCCACTAGACCTTCAATTCCATAGTAAAGCATCATCTCTTACTATTAAGAAAATAATGACCATCCTCGGGCACCTTTTGAGGCAAACATTGCAGGTGCCCATAGTAATTTTTCACAGGAAGAGAATACACAGCAGTAGTATGGTTTTATATAAGATTGTTTTAAAACAGGTAACATTTAGATGGTTCTTTGAGGACTAGAAAAATATAGAGATCGGGCAACTATAACATACTCTGTTCTTGCCTTATAATAAATATGAAGTTTTAAAAATAATTTAAATTGGTTATGAATTACCGATTGTTGGATTATTAAGACAAGTTCAAGTACCCAAATATTCATAAGTGATGTTGGTCCAATTGTTATCACTAAACCTGTTTGTAAGTTTCTTACTGTATATGTTGTTTACAAACTCCAAGTTTAGCATGGAGATGATAAGAATTTGATCCCTGAATTTGAGAGAAAACTTTTACCCTTACCCTTACAAAGGGCTTCTTTGTCCAACTAAAAGTATGAATTGCTACAATCATTCAGACAAAGCAAAAAAGCATGTATTAAGATGTATCAAGTCTTTTTATAGCATACACATATAAATGATGTATACATTTGATATATCAGAAAGCAAGTGATCAAACTATAAAACATATTGACACATGTGATCCTTGAACAATAGAAAATATTGATTCTAAGTAGTGTTCCCCAAAAGTGACAAATTTAAAGATTACATTACTCTTTCCCAGCTGGGTTTGTATTTTAAAACTTGTAAGCTTATTCAAGGACTCCTCTATTGTTTAGTGCTGAAACAGTAAGTTTTCACATAAGAAAGAAATGGCCTTGGCAAAGAAAAAAAAAACTGATTTTCCGAAGTTACTGTAAAAATACAGGCCTAAACTGTCATGTTAAAAGTGCTAATATCATCTTTCAAACTGTTACTAATGAACAATTCTTTCATTTGGTTCTAAAATAGTTTATAATTTGCTAAACCACTATTGTATTTAGCAAGTGTGTAATTAGCATTTGAAACTACATAGGATCTGTGTGTTGTGAAGCAGAAACAAAAGTTTTTGCAGGCAAATACTAATAAACAATTGCATAAGATAACATTGAAGTTCAGTAATGAGTACAATGTAATAATAATGCCAAGTAACATTTCTTGAAAATTTTGCAACAGAAGCAAAAGTCCAACAGAAGTCATGGTTGCTTAAAAGTAATTAGTTCAGTAATCAGATTTTTTTAAAAAAAGTTCATCAGGCAAGTTCCAAGAGTCTTAACAATCTCCACTTGTGAAGAATCAAGGACCCTTTTCCACAAGGTCAGTGAATTTGCTTAGTCAGCAAAAATCTGGAAGGATCTTTTAGTTTGGATCAAGAGTCTTGTGCTGGAACTTTTAAGCAGCACACATTTTTGCTGCTGGAAAGGAAGGTTTTAGTCACTCAGAGCTGGCTCTGTTCTGCTTCTGTAAGGATAGAAACTATTTGGTAATTAGTTCATTCCTTTCAACAATGGATGCATTGAAATGGCAGTAACAATCCCTTTCGTGAATTCTTGGCCTAGAAGAAGCTCCTGGATATTTTCACATTTATAGGAATAAGCCAATCTATAATAATTTGAGTAACATGATGTCCTTTCACATGTATTTGCTGACAAAGACAGAAAAACACATGAGACACATGTAGTTGTCCATCCAGAAGAAGCCATCCCAAGAACCATTGTAGTGACATTGCAAGCTGTGGTTCCAACATTAATAAGAAAATTAACATAGGCAATAGCAGAGGGAACCTGAAATGCTGGTACAAAGAATTGAGCAGCTTATATAGCAGCCTGTTCAGCAAATCAGGATTTTGTAGAATCTTAGTAAGATTTGAACAAGGTTTCTATACCAGGTTTATGGTCTGCAAATTAAAAAGAATAATTCTTTATATTAAAACAGGAAGCTCTCAAGCAGCCTTTTGCTCTAAGAGTTAAAAATCAGTGGGATGTAGGTTGCTTTTTACTAGTCAGAGTTAGAAAATACTTAGTCAGCCTGGTAAATGCTGTTAGCCAAAGCTTATAAATATCTTAAGGTTCTTGTTTCTTGATGTTTGATGGAAGGCAGAAGCAACTGAAAATAACATCCACCCTTGCAGGAAAAAGTTCTTTTGTGTTCAGGTATGGGAAGTATACCCCAAAAGGACGGTGCCAAAAACCTCATAGCACCAGAAACCTCAGAAAACAGTGCCAGGAGACACAAGCCAGCCCTTCCCCCTTTAAGAAAACCAAGAAGCACTAGCTGAAAGGAAAAACTCAGAACAACCCTGCTAATGACTATTACAAAAGTAACAGAGCTGACAACAAACATTTAAGTAGAGCCATTAAGGGGAATCAGGCTAAAAATAAGTCACCTGGAACTTCCCTTTCCCTCTTTCCTGGCAGAATTAATCCCCAGGATAGGAAAAACAAAGCCCCAGGAACAGGATTAACCCATTAAGGCAGGAAGACAGAATTCAGAGCAATCACTTTTAAAAAGGCACACACAAAATCTCATCAGACCACACAAACTTCAAAGTGAAAATGGGTATAAAAATCTATAAACTTATCATGCCACTCTGCTTGGAAGCCAGAAACTCTTGAGCTGTGTCACTATTTTTCTTGCCTTCCTACATTAAAAGATTTCCACTTTCTGGCAGCTGCTTCTGCATTCGGTTCTTCTCAGCATCTGTGATTATGTCCCAGCTGGGAGTGAACCAGGGAAGTTTCTTCCAACTTAGGTATATAATATAACCCAAGTAAATAATTTAAATAAACTGGACTGCAGCTTAGCTGGTGAATCTTTGTGACCCCATTTTGTGACTCTAGAAAGTTAAATCTGTTGGATTTATGAGGTAGGAGCTACAAAACATGGGTTGGCATGGCCAACTCGATGTCACTCACACCCACCCAGTCACATGACCCCCTGGCCATGCCTACCCAGCCACACAACCCTTCTCTCTCTCCCCCCTCTCTGTATCTCTCTCTGTCTCTCCCTCTCTTCCTCTCTATCTCCCCTCCCCTCCCACTTTTCTCTGTATCTCTCTCTCTATCGGTCCCCCACATGTATCTGTCTCCCCTTCTCTATCTCTTTCTCTCCCTCTTCTCCCTATCTTCCCCTCTTTCTCCCCCTCTCCTCTTTCTCCCCCTCTATCTCTGTGTGTCTCCCTCCCTCTGTCTCTCTCCCTCTTCCTATCTTCCTCTCTCCCCCTCTCCTCTCTCCCCCTCTCTGTCTCTCTCTGTGTATCTCTAGTGTATCTCTCTCCCCCCCTCTCCTCTCTCCTCCCTCTTTCTGTATCTCTGTGTGTGTCTCTCCCTTTATCACTCTCCCACTCTTCCTTTTTATTTTAAAGTTTTTATTTTTATTTTTTACACATCTCTTCAAGTGAGCAACATGATTCCAGGTTACAACATTCATACATAGTCATAATTACATTTCCAACATTCCTATCTAATTTCATATCAAATCATTATCTATTTCACTGATCTTTAAATAAGTTCTCACTTCATATATCAAAAACATTTCATCCTCACGTATATTTTCCACTCTTTATTCCATATTATTTCCATTTTCAGCTTACCATCTATTTTATTTTACATTATTATCTTCATTAACTTTCTCATAGCCGAATATAATAAACAAACAAAAAAGAGTAAAAATAAAATAAAACTAATATATTAAAGATCCATATAGTATATTCCCCAATCTACAATAAATCTTATATTTATTCCAGAGATATTCATATAACCATTTCATAATTTTCTTTGTTTCCACTTAGCCAAAGTTTACCTATGAAATTTTTCTCCCCCCTCTTCCTATCTCCCCACCCTGTATCTCTCTCCCCTCTCCTGTCTCCCCCCTCTTTCTGTGTCTCTCTGTGTCTCTCTTTCCCTCTCTGTATCTCTCTCTCTATCTCTCCCCCTCTCCCTATCTCCCCCTCTGTCCCTGTATTTCTGTCTCCCCCCCTTTCCCTCCTCTTTGCATGTGTCTCTGTGTGTGTGTGTGAGACACTCTGTGTGTGTGTGTGTGTATATATATATATTTCTCTCTCTCTCTTTCTCTCTCTAAGAAAGCTGTGGCTGGGCCAAGGCAGCAAGCTCTCCTTGGGGCTCTTCACTACTCCGTTTGTTTACAAGTGGGGGCACCCTCAAGCGGCCCACCCCATGCGCTCCTTTGCTGTGCTTTGGCCGAGCTCAGCTGCTTGCTTGAGTAGGATTTCCTGCTTGTGCAAAACCTCCTGGCCCCACCACAGCCAGCCAGAGGGTCACAAGAAGAGAAGGAGGAGAGAGGAGGAGGGTTATCCGAAGGCAAGCTGGATTGCCAAAAAGTTGCCAAGAAGAAAGAAAAGGAATAGTGAAGGGTCCCAAGGGGAGTTCGCCAGCTTGGCCCAGCCTCATCTTTCCAAAAGAGAGAGAA